TACAAAGTATCGTTACACTATTGATTATCGCAGTTGTATCCAGAGCTTTAAATAATTGTCTCATTTTCATCAAAACCCTTTGAATACCTTTTGACAAGACACATTATTCTCCCCTACTTTGTTGTGACAACACTGGGCTGTGACGCTCACTTTAAAATCGTCACTATAACTGTTGGTTACCACGGTTGTATCCAGAGCTTTAAATAATTGTCTACTTTTCGTCAAAGACCACACAGGTGGGTTCAGTTACTTTATTACACCCTTTGACAAGACACATTATTCTCCTCTATCTCTGTTATTACAATACAAGCTGTGAAACTCACTTTAGAAATAGCCTGTTAAGCCTAATTCACACGCAGTCTAACTTCACTTTCACTAACTTACTTAACCTAACTTGGTCGCCTATGTATATATAAATATATATATATTGCCCGACTGAGGCCTAGAACTTTCTATACACTGAAAAGCGTTATGATGAAACAATACTCAATGAAATAACAAGAAACGCTTAGAAGGTTTGACTTACAGGACATCAGCTCACAAAAACTGGGCTACACAACAACTGATTTCTAAAGAGTTACTTAAGCAAACCTGTGATAAATTATCTCTTTTAAAATACTAAATTTAACATTCGCACTTTATAACTATCTAAATCATGGCTCTCACGTTAAATTTAAATGAAACAGTTGTGTATAGCTAACAATAAGTTCCTATTCAAGAAACATTTACAATATTTTTTATACTATAAACAAAGACTGTTTTCAGTTCATACACACACACACACACACACACACAGTCTCCTCGTATAGTCTGCACGAACATTTACAGTTCCCTTGCTTTTTAGTCAGTTCTTTACTGATGTTGATATTTTTGTATGTTTCATCTCCACCCAGTGGTCTTAGGTCTAGTAGGTCTTAATTTTCTATAACAAAGCTACATTTGCTATGTCCATCTGTGCTTCGATAGCTGCACCCATTAGGCCTTTATCCCTCTCAAAGTACCTCTTCAACAGATTGGCGTGGTAGATCTTGGTATTTCCACCCACTTTCACTTTATAGTGCATTCTGTTGCTCACTTCTTGTACTTCAAAAGGTCATTTCCACTGCAGGATGAGTTTATTGTTGTCTGTAGGTAGCAGAACCAAGCCCTTCTGTCCGACCTTGAAACGTCTATTTTGGCATTCTTGTAATAGAGGTTCTTCCAAATGCTTTGGGCTGCATACAAACTCTATTGAATGAGTTGACCAGTCTCCTTCAGTCGATTTCTGAGGTCTAATACGGACTGGTATATGTTCCTAACTTCTGACTCCTTTTCTCCTGTCCACAGCTCTTTCAGTATCTGTATTGGACCTCGTAATTTTCTTCTGTACTACAACTCGGAGGGTGAAAATCCTGTACTTGCTTGTGGGGTTTCTCAATAAGCAAATAATACTGCCTACAGATACCTGTCCTAGTCATGTGATCTCTCCTCTTCAGCATGCTCTTTAAAACTCCATTGACTCTCTCACAAAGTCCATTACATCTAGAGTTGTATGAGGGGGTAAAGAGCTGCCTAGTGCTGATGAGTCTACATACCTCTTGTATCAGTTCTGAGGTAAAATGGGTCCCTTTGTCACTCAAGACATCTTTTGGAAAGCTTACTTTGCAGAACACTTCCAGGGGGCTTCTGCTACTCTCTCCATCTCTATCTTCGGCAATGCTCTGGCTCCTGGATAACGTGTCGCATAGTCAACTACTGTCAGCACACACTAGTTGCCCTTGTCAGAAACGGGTGCTAGTGAGCCAATGAAGTCCACAGCTACTCTAATGAATGGCTCTTCTATGATAGGCATCTAAAGCAGTGACACCTTGGCTACCTTCCTTCTAGGTGTTGTCCTTTGGCAGGTGTCACATGAATTGCATAATCTGATCACATCTCTGACGACTCCCAGTCAACGGAAGTGGCTGGTAATTTTGTCTACCATTTTCTTTGCTCCTAGATGTCCTCCAACCATCGACTCATGAGCTAGCTTCGTCACTTGAGTCCGATATTCTGTTGTTACTATGATCTGTTTAACTTCCCCAGTATAACTGTCTTGATATATTTCTCCCTTATGATCCTCCATTCTCTAAGTCCTTTTTCCCGTTGACTTGTGTTCTACTTTTTCCTGGGTACTGTCCCAAAGTTTCTACAGTGAAGGGTCTTTCTCTTGTACTTCCTTCGGTTTCCTTAAACCTGCATTCGGTATGTCACCTCTCGAGACTTGCAAGGTCTTGAGTCTTGGTTGCTTTTATTTGCTTGATCTCTATAGATGACTGCAGGTGCTTCATCGGTCTTATTTCTGTCTGGTTCGTCCAAACTTCTACTGCCTGGTAAATTTACAATCACCAATTCATAGATGGGTGTTTTCATACACACGGCCTCAATGTCTTCCACAACGGTATGTAGTGTCCAACTTTATTCCTGATATAGGAAACTTTCTCACTGTCCCATCAATCAGCACACACACAGATGTACCTTGACCATCATCTGGTCATCAGATGCTAGACTGGTTCTCATTGTTGCACCCAGTGTCTCTTTCTTGTTCCTTACATAGCTTTTGCCTGCTGGTATGTTGTGATTTATTGGCACCTCTCGATATTTGTCACATGCTCCAATTGCCACTGGTACTGTTGACCCATTTGATAAGTTGAGCTGACCATAAGTTGTGCACTGTTTAATCACTGAGATAGCACTTCCTTCTTGTGGTGAATCTGACACGTTGTCTGTATTCTCTTTCTTCTGGAACCAACATCCATGGTGACAGTCACCTTTTTTCTTTTTTCTTGCTAGCACAATCTTTATGGGTAGCTCCAGCTGCTTTATGTTAAGATTTCTACTGCTGTTTGTTGGGGACAGACTTGCATTTTCTCACAATGTGCCCCATTTTATAACAAATATAGCATATTTTGTCTATTGAGCTCTTGTCACCTTTTTCTATCATCCGGTTTGTGTTCAGCCGCCCCTGGATTCAACTTTAACTGGTTATTCTTGGACTTGCCTGTTATACTCCCTCTATGGGCTTCCATAAACTGTTCTGCCAGCTTGATCATCTCATCCATGTCTTTTTATGTTCTCCACTTTAGGAACAGTGACATGTCAGTGGAGCATGTGATCATGAACTGTTCACGTAGTAGTAGATCTGCCAGTCCCTCAAAACTATTTTCACACTTGACCACGTCAGTTTATCTTGTGAAGTATTTCTGTAAACTTGCTACAAACTGAAATACAGTTTTTCTAGTGTCAAATTTGACTTCTCTAAACTTCCAATGAAAACTTTCCTCAGTAAGTTCATAGGTTTCAGCAATGCCACTTTTAACTTGTCATAGTCCACAGTATCTTCTGATGTCATGCCACCATATACTTGTAGGCCTTTTCCTGTGAAAAGGGGTCTAAGATAGACTGCTCAGTCGCCTTTGTCTCAGTTTTGACTATGGGTGAATCTTTCATAGCTCTCCAGAAAATTATCCATGTCGTCTTCCTGTTCATCAAATTTAGGCAGATTGGGTCGTTTGGCCTTGACTCCATTGTCATTCTTGGGTCCTTTGTCTTTCTGTTGGGTGAGCTTTGTGATCTCAATTTGTGCTCTTGTTCTCTCTATTTCCAGTCTCTCCTCTCCTTCCTTTTCTTTTTTCTTCTTTCTCAATTTGTATTCTTATTCTCTCTATTTCTTCTTTCAATCTTTCTTCCTCTCTTCCCTGTTTCTCCTCCTCTCTTCTGTTGACACTCTTCTCTCTCTCTCTCTAGTTCTTTTTGTTGTTTAACAAACTCTGAGAAACTGCTATCTTTTAGCCCAAGTTGCTCATCTCTCTCTATCCATTTATCAAAATCAGTCGACATATTTGGTTATATAGCGTGATTGTAACCTCTACATTATTCTCGTCAACACTACAATTGGGCGTATCTAGGCCTAATTCTTTTATCTTTCACGTCCATTTCTACCGTCCTTTACTTCTGTAGTATCCTGGCTGGCTCGCCAAATGTCAGGTTTTATAGGGCCGAATTCTTTACAGTTGGTGTCTGTGACTTGTTGGCGATAAATTTAAACAATAAATGGACAGTACACAATCCACTTGTTTTAACATAATATATTGAAAACAAATCAAACGTATGCACAAACATCCGTTACACTGTTGGTTATCACAGTTGTATCCAGAGCTTTAAATAAGTTGACAAGACAAATTATTATTCTCTATTCTGTTATCACAATACAAGAAATAGCCCGTTACGGCTAATTCACACGCAATCTAACTTCACTTTCACTAACTTAGTTAACTTAACTTGGTCGCCTATATATAGATATATATTGCCCGACTGAGGCCTATAATTTTCTACACACTATGAGACGTTATGATGTAACAATACTTGATGAAAAAACATGAAACTCTTAGAAGGTTCGAGTAACGTGAAGTCAGTTCACAACAACTGAACTACACAACAAATGATTTATAAACAGTTACGTAAACAAACCTGCGATAGATTATTACTTCTAAAATTACTAAATTTAACACTTGTACTTTATAACTATCTAAATCATAACTCCCATGTTAAATCTAAATGAAAAAGTCGGGTATATCTAACAAAAACACAAAAAGATAGAAACATTTTACTAAAGCCAAATGACTAGAAAAACTGCCTTTTTATTAAGAGTAAATAGCAACTAATTAAGAAAAGAAAAGTTAGGAATTAATAATTAGACTTAGGTGATCGTATAGGCTACTAACCATGACAACGAACGTAATTTTATCTTCATTTACTCTAATTGTGTAGAATGTCACTGTCAGTTCTATTGGAAAGCGTGTGTGTGTGTCACGTATAAGTTGTATGGTTTCTCGTCGCTAGTATCTTTGACGGTTTTTACTGTTTCTTCACATGGATTTTTTATATTTAATTAAAGTAGTCTATCAGTTGATATTATTTTGGAAAGTATATTGTATGATATATTTTAGTGATATTTTCCTTATGTATACTTACTCCTACAGAAAACGTCACAGATCGATTGATGAATAGACGAACGAAGAGAGAGAGAGATAGGTAAGCAGACAGATATTTTTCGATTTCCCGATGGAGCAAATTAACCCCGACATTGATCTGAATTACATATTTTTTTAAAGACTAAACACACACACCGAAATAGGTTTCTATTTACGTTACTCATTTAAGAATACTTCACAAATTAGCGTCTAATAAATACTTTTAAGCAATTCGAACGTATAAGAATTACAAATTTTCTCGTTATAAAACCGTTTGTATAAAGTATAGAACTTAAGCCAAAGATATCGTTCGACAGAATTCTCAATAACTTATCTATAGAAAAAAACGTAATTTGGAAACCTTTTGATAGCCTAGATTTTTAACAGATTTTGTTATGAATTGTATCCTTACTTTATAGATAACGTACTTTTTTCGAAATGCTGAGACATCTGCCGCAGTAGCGATACTTAAATAAAATTAAAAAAAAAGTTTTTTTCCTCTCCTTTTGGGTCACTGAGAGTGTATTGAAATTAAGAGAGTTGTTACTGACCAATCTTTTTTCCTAAATATCAATGTGTAGAAGAAATAATGGAAATTGGATGAAAGATAATACTGTCTTTTTAAAGCTGTGTGTTCATTTGTTATTGTTTCCATCATCCTCTCTCACAGAATCATCCACACCATTTCCTGTAGTAAAATATGATCTTTCTCATTCTACTACTTCTCAATCAATTCCAAAAAAAAAAAAAAGTTGTCGCCAAGCAACAGAAGCACAAAACAAAAGCTGATGCTGTTTGGCAACCTGGTTTGTATAAGAAGAGCAGAAATGGTTAAGATTTTTCTCCCAACTGTCGGAGCGCCATATCTATCCTAACAAAAGAAAATAAGGTCACGTCTATCTGCGTATATGTTGTGGTCTCTGTCTTCTCAATTACAGAACCAGAGAAGACCCCATTTTCGGCAAGAAAATACATGTTCTATCACTATGTGTTACACTGATCATTGATAACATTTGTTAACAAGTTAGTGGAACGACGTAACGAAATAATAGAAGAAACACTAAATGATATAACCACCACGACTTCTTAACGTTTAACGAAATGGTGTTCACTGTCCGACTTGGCTGAATAGTTGAACATTATACTTTTGATTAAAAAAAACTGAATTTCTTTCGGAAGTTCGCACAAAACCACACATGGGATATCTGTGCTGATAACATTTGTTAACAAGTTAGTGGAACTACGTAACGAAAGAATAGAAGAAACACTAAATGATATAACCACTATGATTACTTAACGTTTAACGAAATGGTGTTAAAATATTGTGTGAATTTAATTTAAAGAAAAACAGAATTTGTTTCGAGAGTTCGCACAAAAGTACACATGTGATATCTGTGCTAACTACCTCTAATTTTGAAATGATAAAAGCAGGAAAGACAGTTGGTCAGCAGCACCTACCGCCAACTCTTGAGCTATTATAGTCGAATATTGGGATTTGATTGCCAATCTTTTAACGCATCCACAGTCACAAAGTGCGGAGCAAAAGTTTGTTTTTTATTAATGGGACACGAATCATGTATCCTCGGATTCACAGTCCGACACGCTAACCAGTAAGCCACGTCCGACCTAAATGCAAAGTTAAATTCGGATATATATATATATATATATATATATAGTAGTGGCGGAGTGTAAATTGTAGGATTAACGTATATTGGACGAATAATATTTATAGTGAAGTATTTACGAACTAATTTTCTTTACATGTTCAAGATAGTGGAGTACAAAAACGTTTTCATTGGGTAGACGTATTTGTCGTGAGTTGATAAATCTTATAATTGCTGCTATTTTTGGATTCATAGTTTAATGAGTAGAATGGTGTATCAATATGAATCTAGATCTATGAAAAACTCTACTAGTTTAATGAGTAGAATGACGTATCTCTATGAATCTAGATCTATAAAAAGACTCTACTAGTTTAATGAGTAGAATGGTATATCATTTTGAATCTAGATCTATAAAACTCTACTAGTTTAATGAGTAGAATGATGTATCTCTATGAATCTAGATCTATAAATAGACACTAATTGGATTCCATCTTTGAAAAGTTTGTCTGGGAATTATGTCCAAATAAATAACATTATCTTGAGGAAAGCCATTCTTCTGTCCCCAGAAATGCTTAAAATCAAAGAGCATTCAGGGTTCCTCTTCCTGTACCTAACCGTGTGTGCTCCCCCTTCCTTTTATGTAGAGACTATCTCACAATATTTCAATACTTAAAAGTTTACATCACTGGTATTGTTAAATGAGATATTAATTAACCTTAAATGCCAATTACTCAGTTTTAACAGGGTGAAAGTGATTACACTTGCTCGTCTTGAAAACCAATTGCATATATACTACAGAATAGAATGGATGACATAGATGAGATAGAAATCAAGTTTAAAGGTCGATTTCACTAAATGCCCTGTTTCTAAAACAACAAATATTTTACCCAATTTACATGTAATGTTGTTGCCAAATATTTTACAGTTTGCATCGACACAATGTGTAACATTTTGGTTTTAGCAATTTTCAGGTAAATAGTTTATAAATTCACCTCACGATATTATCTAACCCTCTTACACTATAACCTGAAGCTATTGAACTAAACGTAGCACAATTTACTTTGATATGTAGAACTATATTGTCTTGGATATATTCGCGTCTGTATGTTTATAATTGGATAATAAAGTATGCTTGTAATGAATTCCATACTAATATCTATGACGTATATTATAATTTGGCATAAAATACGCATACTTACAATATGCTTTATAATCTACAAGGACTAATGCTGCCCTTAAAATAATAATTAAAAAACACGTTCTAATTTTTCACAAAGCCAAAATCAATACTTAATTTCACTAAAATATATTAGCTCGAAATGATTAAGAAACGGGTTAAAGTTTCTAATATTTAAAGCAGATTTTTACATAAGGGCTAGGTTCGCTAATGTACAATATTCAAAAGTATACTTTTAAGCAAAAGGTCAGGTTTTACTGACGAAATAGTATAATATCGTATAGGATGGTTTAATATTTTGTTCCAAGGAGTCATTTGTTGTGGGAAAAAAACTGCAATATACATAATTTGCTCTATCAAATGTATGTTTGCCTGATAATAAATGTTTACTTTCATTAAATTTATATGTTTAAATACGGGGTTGGTTTCTACATTTTACATGTTCTTGAAGTTCTTGTCTTGTGCTTTTAAAGCAGTTTGTTCTGACATAAATATTAATTATGGCACTTCCATAAAAACTAAGAATGAATTATTTTATCGTTTTTTATCAGTCTTCATTAATCTTTGTGACACTTTGAATACTGTTTATCTCAGAAGTATAGATGGCGCTGCCATATCTATAGCAATTAACTTACTTACTTTTTGTTTTATTCCTAATTCAACTCGTACTGTCAGTTGGGGCGACGCTCGACTAGACTGTTGAGACGAAAAACGAGAAAACTGGATGAAAATACTGTTCTAACAGATAATTCTGTAGAAACACTTGCTGGATGATATATAAATATATAGTCCATTTTTTTTTTTTTGGAGGGAAGGGGGTAGGGTTGGTGACGTGTAGCCCGTTACAAAGAGGACTAAATATTCGTACATTTGTATCCTAAACAATATTTAAAATAAAAACTGTTACCTGTAGATATGCTAGTTATCGTTTAACTCGTTAAAATTCCGAGCCATTCAAGATTTTATGAATTTTCTTCCATCTACTTGATTTACGTAGACGTTTTTCAAATGAATGGCTAAACTTTATTTTCGTGAATCATACTGTTAAGTCGTATGGTTAATTTGATTTTTCTATACTTGTATTAGCATTGATTTCTAGCGTTAGTGTATTAGGTATACAAATAGAAGAGAAAATGTAATTTCAGTGTGATTGATTCAATAATTTGTTTCAACTAATTAATAAGTTTGTTTGTACCTGAAAATTATATCGCATTAAATTGTAATTTGATCTAGACACCTTGCTTCATAAATTCTGACTTATAACTGTTGTATGATTATTTCCGTATTATAAAGTATGTTTCATTTACTGATCATTTCTTTTAAGCCCTTTCTTTTGTTTCAAAATATTTATACAAGTTGACCATTACATTTCTATAAGTTATAATTTGTAGCGGCAAAGAGCTACATTATAAGACAATTTAAAGAACAAAACAAAGCTATATACATGCAAATATTTAATAAATAAGCCATATTCACAGTACTAAATCGCTTTGCCCCATTATGCTCACATAGGTTTCATGACACTTCATCCCCGTATTTCAACCTCTTCTCAACTCGTATTGCTTAGATATTTTGGTATATGTAATGAACTACTGCATAAAGATGTTTTTCTGTTAAAAACTAGCTCAAACACTCAAAGCTATGGATCTTATGTTATGGTTAATGATGAAGAAATGTCGCTTTTTTTCGTATTTTCAGTTGTGGATTACCTCTTTTTTTTTCAGAAATAATACTGTAACAAGTGAAAATATTCAAAAGTGGAATCATAATATACATATACATTATCTCATTTTTAGTGTTCAGACATGCTAAGATGCCTTTTTATAATCATTTTATTTATATATACATTTTTCTTTTGACAAAACAACTACACTGGACGAAATGTAAACGTCCGCCATTTTGTTTCTCTAGACACCGATGATCTGAAATTGGTGGTAAATTTTATGTTTTTTTATTTATTTCAGTACGATACTACTTTAATACTAATTCTGATTGTGATTTTGAGTCACTGATCTTGCCAGTCCTTCTTTTCACAGTTTATATGATAGAAAACACGTGCTCATGCCTGGTACACTGAAAGATGTCCGTATCTTGTCAAGCAAGACCCCGTCCATTCTCTGGTTAATTAGTTTTACTCTTATTTTTTATTATTGTTAGTTATTTATTTTTATATTGCTAGACAAATAAATAGATTGATACAAAGGAATAAATATGGAATATCTGTTACATAATTCGATATACAGCGCAACATAATGGGTTGAAATTGTTACGTCAGTTTGT